CTCTTTGCGCTTGACTTAGTGATTGCCCAGAAAGTGGATTTGTATCATATGGATGCTAAGACCATATTCTTAATAATTAATGTTCTTCCAAACAAAAAAGTTTGTTGGTTTTTCCATTGATTCATTTTGCCAATCGCTGGGCAATAAATTTAATCATCGTTCGATATCGGTTTTCCAAGTGTCGCTAGAGAGACCCCCAACAACCTTACGTGAACTTACAAAAGTTTCTCATGAAAATGATTTCACTCCCGGGTATTCTGGGGGGCGTATTCCGTTTGAATGGATCCACCACCCCTGCATCTTATTTCCCCAATTGATCCTTACATCCAAAACAGTCGAGAAATGATCAATCATTGCGTCAATTTCTTCCATATTGGAATTCGAGGCCTTCATTAGTATGGTAAGATCATCCAAGAAGATAGAAGCAAATAGGGTTGCATCATCAGGAATCCCTGAGATCTTAAGCCGTTTAAGATTTTGATTGGCGCTAAGATTTATTCACAATGCTTCCATGATTATTACGAACAAAAAGGGTATTGAAGGATCTCCTTACCTTACCGATCGTTGAAGACGAAGAGATGGTGAAATTTTTTTTTTTACCCTAATCCCTGTAGAAACATTTGTATGTAAAATCCTTACCGATTTTTGTAAATTTAGTCCAAATTTCATTTGATTGAGACAAGTATCCATAAATTCTGAGTCAACATGACCATAGGCTTTCTCAAAGTCGCTGAACACTATTGCCGCGTTTTGTTTAGACTGGCGAAAAAGTTCGACCATTTTATTGATTAGGAGAATATTATCCAGGATATGTCTTCCCTTGATGAATCCAGTCTGCGAGAGATGTATAACATCCTTCATTACAGGAATGAGACAATTAGTTAAGGCATTGGATAACATTTTGTATACCACTGTTATAAGAGTTATCAGCCTATCATTCCTAATATTTGTTGCATCCCCTTTCTTAAACAGAATTGTGAGGATACCTTCCCCCATTACACTTGATTCTTCAACTGATTCAACATATTACATTAGGTCTGAAGAGAAGGTCAACCACATGGTTTTCCAAAATTTCTTCGGGAGACGATCTGTCCCAGGAGTTTTTTCCTCATCCATCTGTATCAAGGCTGTCCAAATTTCCTCCTTTGTTAAGCCATACTCTTGATGTTCCCGTTGCTCTTCGGTGAGAGTTTGGGACAAAGGGATAAAAAATTGTTTTAGGCTTGTTCAACCCCCTGTTGTAGGACCATTAGAGGAAGTAAAAAGTCTTTTGTAAAAGTCATAAGTTATTTTTAGACTACCCGCAAAAGAGTAAGATAGTGAAGGGTCCGTATGTACTGATGGATCAACCAAGGCGTCTATGCATGTACATCTAGACCTATTGCGTGCTAATGCAAAAAATGATGCATCCATTTGTCCTTCAATCAAAAACTTAGAAAGTTTACTTCTAATTATATATTATTGCCAACGATGTTGAACAAAGGTCAAAAGTTGGTTTCTGAGGGTCTGAATATCCATTGTTTGAAAATCTTCATCAGTATTTTCTTGGGATTCGTAATTAAGGAGTTGTTTTTTAATACTCATTTCTTGTTGGTGCCTAATTTTAGCCTGAAGTTTAGAATATTCATTACATTTTGTTGCTAGGAATGTTATACCATTATTAAACCATGCTATGAACGAACTTTGTTCGATTTTAGTTGAGTGTCAGTACTTTCAGACATCCTCTATGTACTACCTAAATTTCATACAGGCTAAAAGGGATGTGTTAAGTTTATAAATGTTTTTCTCTCGATCAATTTTTAAAAAAAAATCAACAGCGCCGCACACATCTTGTGATCCGCCCCTGGCCACGGACTTTGTGGAAAAATCGCTGCCTAGACTAATGCATGATCCAAATCTTTCGACATCAAAATGAAATCTATTCAGAATCGAGATCGTTGTGGGGTGTCGTTAATCCTTATACAGGTAAACATTCTTTCTTGTGGGAAGGTACGACGATATGTTGTGACGCCCAACCTCACGCCCAGCTCGACTTCCTGATCGGAGTGGGATGTGGGCCTGGAAGTGCGAAAAGGGGTGTGCCAAGGGTTTTTGGGAAAGTGGGGGAGTCTTAAGGGTATGAATGCAATTAGGCGAATGAGAGGTGCGCGCGCAAGGGTCTCATGGTCCAAAGGGGCCAGGACACGGTGGTCGACGGGTTACGGGGAAATCCCTCCGCGGTGGAGGTGGTCCCGAAAAGTTAAGCCGTCGGGGGCCGCCACGTGGCGCAGGTCGCCGCGCGCCTGGGTTGGGCCTGCGAAATTCTGGAGTTCTCTGTTCATCGCTACGTTGGCAATTCACGCAAAACGTGTCGGGCCAATAGGGGGCTATGGCCGGCCACGGGACAACACTGAGTTGATGGTACGGGAGAAGAAGGCGGAAAGGAGGGAAACTGGTGGTGATGACAACARATCCCGGGTGGGTGAAGTAGTAGGTGTGGTCGGGAGAAGGGAAATCAGAGCACCGAGGGTCGCTAGAGGTGGCGCAGTGAAATTCCCGCGGACATAGYYGATTCTCYRTGTGACARGGATATCGCGTCCTTATGAGTTCGTTTATCATAGGGRTGAAATAGTCYRGGTCGTAGGATGAGTCTGAGTTCCAAGATCGYRTCATGGTATCATCGTGGATGGGTCAGCTCGGTAGGGATGTCGTCACCAYKCACAAGTAYGCGCAGGGCAGGCARCCCTAGTGGCRCCRTGCTTGYACGGGATGATGGTTTCGYCRCGAATCTTTTTGGGTGAGCGGATCGACGCACGGGAATGYRTGTAAGGRCRCGACTCGGATCGCGTTCACACGTGTTCTCGCGCGGCGTTCGTGGGGTCAATCCTCATGTCGTTTAATTGCCTCGGATTGTGCAAGATGCGACCATATCACAACCTCCCCCCCCCAGCACGAGATAAGCAAAAACGAGGACAAAATCGCCATCGGTGCCAGATCCTTATCTCATCTACAGTTGCATCAGGTGTGAGCAAAGATTCGACACAAACAAAAGATAAGGACCGGGATTCTCAGCAGTGATATAGGTGCGCAAGCATATCATCCATACATCCATACCCTCAACAATCATACATGTCACGCAACCGAGATGGACAAAGGCAAAGACAAGTGTGAGCAAAAAAAAAAAAAAAAACAAGTCTCGATTCCCGAAAGCCGAAAACGAAAGTGAGAACGGGCAAACCGCCCGGAGTCATAATCAAAATGTCTGTACACAGATGAAGAGGGGGAAGAGACAAAGAAACAGCAAATCCACGTCCATCGACCTCAACTCTCTCTCCTTCTCTTTCTCTCTTCGATGCGGACAGTCCGTCGTCATGCACCAACCCACGAAGTTGTCACCCCACTTAGTCCTCCCGCACCCGTCGGATTCGGCCGTGCCCATAGTCCGTCGTGGCCCACGTCAATCCTGCGCATTCGGCACCAGCCTGTCGGGTCGCCCAACTCCTACTCTACTCACCTCTTACTTCGCTCGTGTGCCGACCCTTCATGATCACGCAACCCCGAGCTTTCAACAACAGGTCAAGAGAGCTGACTAAACTCGCAGCCGAAATTTATAGCGTGCATGCATGCGCGAAGAACACGGAATTACCAGGACTTAGAGTGGAATAGGGAGGGAGCGCCTGCGTTCTGCATAATCGACCGCGGCGTGGGGGACGTAACCCTTCTCCACGCACCGATCTGAGCATGCAAGCCGCGGCTCACAGCAAAAGAAAGAGAGGGAGAGCGAGAGAGACGAAGTGTAAAAAGAGAGATACAGTTACAATGGCGCCCGCCCAAAATTGCAGTTACACACACGATTAAGGGCGCCCACTAATCAGAGTACCGTTGCAGCCGCATGAGAAAGCGCGTAGACAAAAGGCGCAGCGTGGCAGAAAAAGTCCTAATTACTAAATTCCTAAATTCCTATCTAGTGCGAAAAAGCAAAAAGCATACATTCCAGAAAGAAAGTCCAAAATTCCGAGAGCCATCGAGGCTCGACAAAGTTCGAAAAAGATTCAAAAGGAAATTAAAAAAGAACGAAACAATTTCCCGCGCGATGTCCGCGCCCAAAAAGATCGAACCCGAAACGAAAGAAACGCCGTCAGCATTTATTAATCGCGCGCGTGGTGGCGCGCCAGACATCCATTCGACCAATCTCCCAACCGACCGTACTCGGACACACCCAGCCCCGAAGAAGCGACGAAAAAGACGAAGAAGCAAGGGTATTGATGCAATTTTCCAACGATCCCGATTTTCCGAAAGCGGCCCAATCTTCCCAGCTTAGGACCCCTTGTTGCAACCGGGCAAAAACTCGTGCGCTACAGAAAGTGGTTCGTCACATATGCGACGCCCAGGGGGTTCCAATATTAGCAAGCTCCTGCTTGCTTGTTGACACGTGTCGATTTTTCTAATCGATCGACACTCGGAGCACTTCTCTTTATGCCACTTACCGTTTGATTGTGTGTGGACGTCATCCAACGTGGCAACTTGGCTCTTCTACTATCTCCTCAGATTGGGCTCTTGACAATTCAAGGACGGTATCTTCCTCGTGCCGTCGCCGCGACATGCGTCCATTACCTGCTGCATCAGTAATTAACCGGGAGGGGGAAAGGAAGTTGGTACACGGCGGCATGGCGGGGCGGAGGGCTTAGGGGTAGCGAGGGCAGGAACCTTTCCATCCCGGCTGCAGTCTCCGGGAGTTCTTGGTAACGGACAATGCGATGGAGACGGGGGAATCGATTGGCAGTGCGAGGGAGGGACGAGAGATAGTCGGGGTAGAGGGTGGTAAAGGTTCGGAAGAGTGCCGCACGGAAACGATCCTGATCTTCGCATGCGGGGATGGTCCCCGTTATCACGCAATAAACCTCAATCATATTGTGGCCTCGCCACGCGGCACTGAAAAGAAAGACATGGAGGCAAGAGGTCGGGACGACGCACCGGAGGGAGGGATGGGGATGCACTACGACAGCGAGGCGAGAGGCGTAGAAGTGGCGGAAGGTACTGCGGGGGAACGGATTGGAGGGGAACGTGACGGGGGTGGTGAGCTGGCGAAGGATGAGGTAGTCAAGGGGACGGCGAGAGAGCGATCGGGGACGATGGCCGATCGCCCGTATCGGTACGTCGGCGAACTGGGGGACGGGTTGGGGAGGATGGGGATCGGCTTCGTCGCCGTGCTGATGGGGCCGGAGTCGTGGCCTCGAGGTTGCCATCTTCAGGTCGGGGCGGCTCCGGATCTCGGTTCGGGTCGTCGTAGATCTGCAGACTCGCCGCGCCTGCGAGTTTTAACTCCGTCTTCCTGACCGCGATCTCCTCTCTTTTACGAGCTGCCTCGGGGTCCTCTGCTTCTGTACCTGTGCGCAGCGCTTCTCCCGGCACGACTTTCCACTCTGATCCGACAGATTCTTCTTCGTGCCCTTCGTCTTCCTCCTCGTCCTCTTCTTTTTCTTCGCTTTGTTCCCTCTCACTGTGCTCGCTATAACTTCCTTCTTCGGGGGTTTCGTTTTCTCCGGATACTTCTTCGCTACCTCCGCTTTCTTCCAGCCCGCCTTCGTTTTCGTTGCTCTCGGTACTCTCCTCCTCCTCCTCTTCTTCCCGAATGGCAGCAAACTGTTCCGCCGTAGGCTGCCTGAAGAAGGCAGGGTCGCGAATCGCCCGGGGATCCAAATGTTGTCGCTGCGACGGCGGGATGCGTTCCGCGGCTCCTTCTACGCAAGCCGACCACTGAAGATGAGGTGTCAAGGTGCGAGAAAGAACATGGGGAACTGGATGCTCGTCGTCTTGCGAGATGACCTCAAGAGGGAGATTGTCCGCCAGCTGCGCTACCGGGATCGTGAACTCTTGCGTGGTTAGTTCTTGATGACCGGGCCGTACTGTCCCGAATAACAACAGAAAAATTCCCACGAGAAACGAAAGTTGAAAAAACATTCCATAAAAAAAAATCATTCTTATTTATAAATTATCATTCCAATGTTCGTCCAATTCTAAAATTTTCGGTTTTATTTGATAAGTTCTCGTCGAAATATGAGTTTTACCTTCCAACTACATCTATTTGTTCAAGATGGAATGGATGTCTGGATGAGTTTATGAAATGTTTTAATTAATTTTTCCTTCTACTCCAACAAATATCTTCTAATTTAGATTGGATTATCCTATTTATGACTGAAAATCCTTACATAGAATGGCAGTCCAATTAAAATATTTCATAAACTCATCCAGACTTTCATTCCATTTCTAGCATGCAGTCCAAATAAGAAGGGATACCCTATTCTTGGAATGAAAGTTTGCAAGTAAGATGAAAATTTTAAAATTGGAATGACATTTTTCAATATGGAATGAAAATTTGAAATTTAGATTGTAATTTTACTATAGAATGATTATTTCATTCTGGGAAATTTTTCCGTTGAAGAACGCGAGGAGTTCTCCCTCCACGTTGGTGCGCCAGGCCTGGATAAACAGTAACTCCAGTCGCTCTATGAAGGGCGGGTGCGCTTCGTCCCTGGTCTATGTCAGCCGTACCTCAACCAAGCACAGGCTGCACAGCAAAAGCTCGACGAAGTCTTCGCGCCACAGGTTCCAATTTGGGAGACGAATGTTGGGGGCAGCACGGGTCGTTAGGCAGTAGGAAAGGCGAGGATGGATATCGGACTGGCAGAAGGTGGGGAAGGTGGAGGGGAGATAAAAAATGGAGATCAGAGAAAGACTCATTGGGGGCGAGGGAAAGGAACAACAACAGGGAGGATCGCCGGTGGATCACATTGGTACATCCGAAGGCCGTCGTGTTCGATTGCTCGTGTCGTCGCGACCGTGTCCCCGGGGCGAGCCAGAAGCTGGGTCCACTCAGCGACCAGGTCGTTTGCCCACACGCGCAGCGATGTCCTCACCACCGAATGTCGTAAAGGGAGGAGTGTGGAAAGATCGCCACGAAAGTTGATGACGACTGCTATGCGGCTGACACCAAGTACCGCTCGCTGATGAACCGCTACTGCCTCGGCCAGTACCACTGCGTTGGGCCGACCTTCTATTCTGAACATCGCCGCGACGTATACACCTTCCGTGCAGAAGAAGTGCGCAAGTCACCGAAGGTCTGGACTGAGGTAGGAATGATAGACCTGCCGGATCATCAGTCGATCACGGGGCGCAAGCGCTGCTTCGCTGAGGGCTCTCTCCTCCAGAAAACTCATGGCGATGGCGATGGTGACGGGGAGGCAGAGAGGGAGCAAGAGGAAGAGGGAGATNAGCGCTGCTTCGCTGAGGGCTCTCTCCTCCAGAAAACTCATGGCGATGGCGATGGTGACGGGGAGGCAGAGAGGGAGCAAGAGGAAGAGGGAGATGCCGGAGAGGCAGAGTCGTCGTCCTCAGCTTCCTCAGAGAGAGAAAAAGAGGGAGAAGGAGTCGGAGCAGAGGGGAGGGGGCGGAGATAGGACATGTGGCGTGTGATCGGGCGAGCCGATCGACTGCCAGAGATTTCTGGGGCGAGACGCACGGTGTTCACGCCGTTGGGGCCGAGCTCGATCACGCGATATCGCCCGAAGAATCGTGGCGCTAGCTTACCCTGGCGAGCACATTTCCTTACCTGCACCACGTCCCCTAATTTGTACTGGGTCCGCGGACCCGCATTCCCATTTCGAGCTTCGTAGCTTCGGACCTGTCGGCCTTGGGCTAGTTCGGTCATTTTCTGTCGTTTTCAGGCTAGCTTGGGCAGTGAACGTTCCATTAGCTCTAGGTGCCGTTTGGCCTTGTCCCTAGCCGTGGCCCTGGTGGGCCGTCGGTTCAAGGTAGACTCGTCGGGGAGGCTTGGTATTGAAACGCAAGCGAAGCTATTGGTCCTTAATTGGAAGGGGCTTAGCCCTGTTGATTCGTGGGGTGCTCCGCGATGGACCGCCAGGATGTGATCGACGATATCGGGCTAGGGCCTCGGATCCCGGGCCGCGATGTTTCGTCGTAATGCGGTCTTTATCACCCGGTTGGCGTTTTCGACCAGCCCGTTGGATTGCGACATGTCGGGTGCGGTGTTCCGTATGGCGACGCCATGTATGACCAGGTTCTTTAACACTTCTCCCCTGAATTCCGCTCTGTTATCGGCCAGGATCTCTTCCGTATCTTGATGCATTCCGAGGAAACGGTTGACATATCGCGCGATTTCCGTGGCTTGCCGCGTGCGACACGGATACGCTTCGATCCATTTCGAGAAATGGTCGACAAATACCAATAAGACCGAATACTCGCAACTATTAGGGTTAGGGGGCACCACTATGTCGGTAATGTCCATGCTCACTCTTTGAAATGGCCGTTCAACAACCGTGGGAACTATCGATCTGGGCGGCTGGATCGGCGCCTTATCAGCGGCGCAGACCTGACAGTTGGCGACAATGTATTTCACATCGTCGCGGATATTGGACCAATACCACTCGTTTTTGTCGATAGCGGAGTCCGTGATCCGTACGGCAAAATGGGCCGCAATTTCCTCGTGAGCTGTCTTAACCCAGTCATACCGCATGAACGGATGCGGCACTACCATCCAAATCCCACTGCCGTTCGTTTTCCGTTTTTCCAATCTACCTTCTATCCATCGATAATCCCGAGCCCTTTCGTTGGCCCTCCTCCGATCTTCTTTGGCGAAATCCTAGAGGGGGTTACCTACTAGGGTGGCAATTAAGGCAATATCCGTCCATACTTCGACCCTTCTAAACTTCCGGGTCTTTTCCAATCATTCCGACGTGGCATCCAAAAAGCGGGCCTCAGTCGGAATCTTGTCTGTCCTGCACAAGGGGCACAACCATGGTTTACTATCGTTTTTGTATTGGATGCACGAGCCATGGGCTCGTGCAACACACTGTCGGCAATCTATCCAATCCGCATACCCTTCTCCATTAGGCCGCATGGAGACCGCGTATAAGCGGGAGATAGCCTCGCAAAAATAGCAAAATTTGTCAGGCAGGGAGAGGAGAGACGAAGAGGAAGGGGGAGAAAGAGGGGTAGTGGGGTTACCTCCATCACCCATCGCCACCGCTTCACTTCTTGCCACGTGGAAGAACCGCCACTTGTCCGTATTTCGGCTCGTCGGTCAGGTCCGGCTCTTTCCACAGTGTAATTTCCTCGCCCTTTGGTACCTTGGAAGGTCGATGCAGACGTGTCAGTCCGTCCGCGTTGCCGTGTCGCTCTGTCTTTCGATGGACGATATCGAAGTCATATTCTTGTAATCGCACCGCCCAACGGCCAATCATGCCTGTGTAGTTGGTGAGCTTCTTTAATGCCAGCAGAGGCTCGTGATCTGTCCGAGGCGAAACTTCTGTCCGTAGAGATACGGATGGAAGTGTTGGATTCCCCAGACTACTGCATAACATTCGCCTTGAGGGGCCGAGTCATTCCTTCATCCGTCCGGTACGGTGCGCGACGCGTACTCGATGACTTGTTTGCGACCATCGTTCCCCTTCTGTGCTAAAATAGCGAAGATAGCTTCGGGTTGCCAGTCCGTGATGAGAATGAACTGCTTCAAGGGGTCCGGTCGAATCAAAATAGAGGCCATTGCCAGAGCGTTCTTGAGGGTTGCAAAAGCCTGCTGGCACTCCGCGTCCCAGCTGAGAGGCTGGTCCTTTCGTAACAGATTCGTTAGTGGTCGTGCAATCGCGGCAAAGCCCTTGATGAAACGTCGGTAATACGACGCCAATCCCAAGAAGGCTCGAACCTGCGTCAGTGACGTGGGAACCGGAGCTTCCTTGACCGCCGCAACTTTTCTCGAGTCTGGCCGCAATCCTCCACGTGTCACAACATATCCTAAGAACGAAATTTCCGAGAGGAAAAATTCGCTCTTCTCAAGCGCAATCTTGAACCCAGCGTCTCTTAATGCACTCAATGTCCATTCGATGTGTTGCGCATGTCCGTGATAGGTCTCCGAATAGACCAAGATGTCGTCCATGTACATGATCACGCAGAAGTTAATCATTCCTTGCGTCAGCCGTGTCTTGTTGACGAAGTTCTGGAACGTCATGTTCATCGCTCGCTGAAACGTGGCAGGCGCATTGCAAATCCCCATCGGACACCGAACCCACTGCCACGTGTCCTCAAACAACACAAAGGTCGTTTTCGACCGATCTTCTTCCCTTACTAGAATATGATGGAAACCATGCCGAATGTCAAACTTGCTGAAATAATTAGCACACCCAATCGCATCCAACAAATCATCAATCCGAGGGAGGGGATACACATCTTTGATCATGAGTTCATTCAGTTTGCGATAATCAATGCAAATGCGAATTGCTCCGTTTTTCTTCAGTACTAATACTACGGGAAAAGACCAAGGTCCGATAGCGGGTTCAATCCAACCGCTGGCTTCGAATTCCCAAATTCGTTCGAGAGCCTTTTTGCGTTCAGTCAAGGAATATCGATATGGTTTGCAATGAATCGGGGAGTGATTTCCTGTCTGAATTTCATGTTGGATTACTAACGACAACCCAATGTCAGTGTCTGACACATTAATCGCTCCTTGATATTCCGTTAGAATATCCGCAATTACCCGGTGGATTTCATCTGGTACATACTGTGGAACGTGCAGTTCGAAAGGTTGGTCCCAGATCCGAACGTCGATTTGTTTCGTATTTGCCTGTTTTGTCAAGTTGGGTGGAGGCGCCGAGATGAATGAATGGTCCGATCGCCAGGAGAACACCGTGGCCATCATCTGAGCATCTTCTTCCCGGATGGTCACGTGTCCTTCCGGGGTAATCCCGTCACAAACATCCTGCCACGAAACTTCTTTAGTTGCAATCTTTATCCCTAGTCCATCTGTTTCTGCTTCGAAACGCCCAGGGGGTTCCAGAGAGCTTGCCTCCGCCCCCAAGCGTAACAATCTCACTTCTTTAGCTGATGTTTGTAAGGACTTGGGTAGATCCGTAATATTACAGTAATGCTTCTTGTCGCTATACCTGGCGAGGAGAGGGGTGATCCCTTCGTACAAAGTCTGAGGGGGTTCCAAAGAGTCTACCATCCTCGAAATCTGCATGAGGGGCTCTCCCAAGATCATCGGCTTGGTTCTTTGAATTTTTCGGCTGGTAAGTTGCATTGTTCTCACTATCGTTTTGGACGGAGGGTAACAAACACGCTGTCGTGCTAATTTCAAGATCTCTGGATCATCTTCGTCACTGCTTTCCGTCTCATCAGTTGATGACTTCTCCTCGGCGGGTTCATCCCAGGAGATCATGCGGAGAGTCCTTGCCATCATCGGCGAAACCCGTGGAACCGCATTAAGGGTAGTGCGAAGGGTCAATCGCATGGGCACAACATAGGGTTTTCCTCCTGTGTTTCGGAGGACGATCGATCGTCGTTCGAAATCCAGGTTTGCTCGTAACGCCACGAGAGCGGGAAGTCAAAAAAGAACGTCGTACGTATTGACATCTAGTACTACGACATCCCCAAGCGCGTGCACTTTACCCAAGCGGAAGGCGACATTGGTAATTCGTCCTACAATTTTAATCCTTTCTTCGTCAGCCAAAACGAGCTGATCTTTCTTAGAAAGCATGATCAGGTCATTTTTCCTGCCAGCCCTTTCGACCACTCTTAGTGAGATAGCCAACACAGCTGCTCCTGAATCTATTATCTCGTTGTAAGGAATTCCCCAAATTTCAATATCACATTTCGCGGACTTCCACGGAATCGATTTAATATGTAAGAAGTGATCGTCTTTCTGAATTAATCCCACCCGTATTGGGTCCGGAGTGCTCGTTAAGTTTTCTTCCGGCGCGGGGCCTTTTGCTTTGGCACTTGGTGTTCGGGCGAGGGCAAATCGTTTTCGGTTTGCTTTGCAATGCTGTAACATTCGCTCGTTGGCTTGCTCGGAGATCGAGAGTAGATGACCGATTGGTAGTGGAATCCGATGGTCCAAAGCTCGGATGATGTTTAATACATCGATCTCTCATGTGACGAAAGTGGGTCCTCCCGACTCCATTTCTCCTAAGGACGGTCGCCACTCCACCACCTCTCTCAGTTCTGGCGCTGGTCTGATTGTTCCGATCATTCCTAGCCGAGGATATCCCAGTGACACATACTGATCTAGCGGAATTAGCTCGGCGGCCTCTTCCGCGGTGGCCAGGGCACTTCCCCCACCCTCTACTTCTTCCATCAAGGCTCCGACTCGTCCAGGTCCATTGGCGATGGGGGCCACAGCCATAGGTGCGACTCCCATCCGTTGTTGTGGGGGTCGGTGGGGGCAATCACGGGCTAGGTGTCCGGGCTGATGACAGGCGTAGCAAACATTCAGATTGTTCGCAGCTCCTCCGAGAGCCGGGGCAGAAGCTAATCCTTGTTGCATCGGAGGGGCACGCACCGCAATAGGTCGCATGCTCCTCATCATGGCTTCTAGTCGAGCACTGTGCTCTCGCTGTTCTTTCTTGCTTTCTTGGATTAAACTAATCACCGTTTTGTTTAGTTCGAAAATGGCCGCTGATTCATTTGATCTTGCGGGAGCCTCAACCAGTGGCGGGGGCAATGCCCTAACGGGCGGGAGTATCATAGGAGCAAAGATGCTCGGAGTCTCGCTTAGGATTACTCGCTTGGGGCCTATCTGTTCCATATAAGTGACAGGTCTTGATACAAATCCCATGTTTTCAAATTTGTTCTGCAAAGCATCCAGTTCTGCTCTTGCTCATACGAGCTCGGTCAAATCTCCGTCTCTAGGGTAGTCTTCTCCTTCCAGGAAGTTCGCGGCGAACTTCCGTTCCATTTCTTCCGCAGCAGCCATAATTTGCTGTAGCGTATGAGTGATGGGGGAAAACTGCTTTCGCAACTTAGTCCTTATTGTTCGACTGCGGAGTCCGTCAATGAACAGATCTCTCCCTACTTGCTCACCTCGCTCAGTTTTTACTAACATCCTGTAGAACCGATTTCGATGTTCCGCAACGGATTCGAGCGGTTTTTGCGCTCGGTCCTTGATCATGTACAATGCCTGCTCAGGGTGAACATAATCAAATCGATTCATGAAATCCCGTTCGAAGGTCGGGAGATCCACCCATACATAGGTATTGTACCAATGATGAGCGTCTCCTCCCATTCGAGCCGGAATGTTGATCTATGCTTCGTGATCATCGTACTGTTGTGCTCTAAGCATGGCCAGCCATGCTCCTGCGAGATGGTGCGCCAGATCAAATAGATAGAGATCTGGTGGCGACATGGGCGCTCGTGCACGTGGGGCAGGTTGGTTAGCATTTTGTTGCGGAGCCGGAATTTGCACGTTGGCCGCCATATTGGCTGTTCGTCGGTTAGCCGCTCTGCTTCTGGTGACGATAGGGTCGCGCCTATACGCGTTCCGAGGGCGAGGTTGCCCACGGTTAGCCAAGTCGCCTAATTAACGTGCTATCAATCCTAAGACCATAGCCACGTGTCGAGCTCCGATACCAACCTCACGCCCAGTGCGACTTCCTGATCGGAGTGGGATGTGGGCTTGGAAGTGCAAAAAGGGGTGTGCCAAGGATTTTTGGGAAAGTGGGGGAGTCTTAAGGGTATGAATGCAATTAGGCGAATGAGAGGTGCACGCACAAGGGTCTCATGGTCCAAAGGGGCCAGGACACGGTGGTCGACGGGTTACGGGGAAATCCCTCCGCGGTGGAGGTGGTCCCGAAAAGTTAGGCCGTCGGGGGCCGCCACGTGGCGCAGGTCGCCGCGCGCCTGGGTTGGGCCTGCGAAATTCTGGAGTTCTCTGTTCGTCGCTACATTGGCAATTCACGCAAAACGTGTCGGGCCAATAGGGGGCTATGGCCGGCCACGGGACAACACTGAGTTGATGGTACGGGAGAAGAAGGCGGAAAGGAGGGAAACTGGTGGTGATGACAACAAATCCCGGGTGGGTGAAGTAGTAGGTGTGGTCGGGAGAAGGGAAATCAGAGCACCGAGGGTCGCTAGAGGTGGCGCAGTGAAATTCCCGCGGACATAGCCGATTCTCCGTGTGACAGGGATATCGCGTCCTTATGAGTTCGTTTATCATAGGGATGAAATAGTCCGGGTCGTAGGATGAGTCTGAGTTCCAAGATCGCGTCATGGTATCATCGTGGATGGGTCAGCTCGGTAGGGATGTCGTCACCACTCACAAGTATGCGCAGGGCAGGCAACCCTAGTGGCGCCGTGCTTGCACGGGATGATGGTTTCGCCGCGAATCTTTTTGGGTGAGCGGATCGACGCACGGGAATGCGTGTAAGGGCGCGAC